CTGGTGCCAAGACTGTTGACTGTGGAGCCAAGCAGCAAGTAATTTTATATGATTCTATTTTAAATTAAAGCAGAAATAAGCGTGTAGTACAAGTCAACTTACTAGATTGAAAGTAGTAGAAGAAAGAGTCTTGGCTTTGTTCATTTTTTTAATATTTACCAAACATTTACTTTTTCATATTTGCTGACTTGTGAGTTGTGATGTTGGAAGCCAGGTCATAAATATTTCAGATTCCAACAGGGTCACTCATGGTGGACAGGTTTCTGCAGCACTTCCAGACCAATAAAGACTAGGACCAAAGATGTGATGGTCTGTTTCAGAAAACATGATGAAAATCCTATGAGGAGCAGCAGAACATTAGTTACGATAGTGCCAGAAGATGTGCTCCTCAGTCTGGAAGGCCCTGAAAACACTCAGTGACCACAACAGTGCAGTGATTGTACAGGTGGTGCAGGGCCAGGCATTGCTTTATTCTGTTGTACATAGGGTCACTAGGAGATGGAAGCAGCTTGAAACCACATGACAGTAACATGTCTGTCTATGAACTGTTTTGCTTGATTTTGGTGTATTACTGTGAGTAAAAGGCATGGTCCTTTACCACATAGACTATATTGATACTCAAATATATCATAGAATAATAAAAGTTACAGGGAAAAGTTTCAAGCTAAAATATTTAGGTATACTGTACCTCTTGGAAATCACTTTCACTATAAATCAGAACTGTGATGGGATTAGGGGAGTTATGTCCCATTTTTTATCCTTCTACAGATTGGCTTATCAAATCATGAAAGACTGCTAAATAACTGTCAAGTGACATCATTATGTAAAGTTATATTTTTGGGTGGATGCAAATCAATACTTGATGACTGTTGTAGAGATGAATTGATAAGTATGGGGAATGTGAGATAAAATTGTTGAGGAAAAGTGACTTGTAAACCAGTTTTAAGAATTAGTAGACCTTAGGGGATGATGGAGCATATGAGGATTAGTATATAAAAAGGCAGAATAGAATTTTACAGAATGAAAAAGAGATTAAGTGCTTAATACCAAAGTTGGAAACAAGAAGTATCAGTAGTTGGAAAACATGGTCTTGATGATAGAAATGAGGCTGCAGAAGGAGATAGAATGAAAGAATTTTCATGGATTTATTCATTGTAAATACCTTTCATAAGAAACACAAATGACAGCTATACACAAAGGCCTCACCTGATGGTCTACACAGGAATCAGATTGATCGTTGGAGAAGCTCAGTATCAGCTCTGAAAACTAGACTAGGAGCTAATTGTGGAACAGACCATCAACACCTCATGTGCAGGTTCAAACTGAAGCTAAAGAAAATGAAATCAAAGCCACAAGAACCAAAATTTGACCTTGAGTCTTTTCAACCTGAATTTTAAAACCATTTCAAGAACAGGTTTGAGGCCTTGGACACTAATAAGTGAAGACCAGATGAGCTGTGAGAAGATGTTAACAATATTATTTATGTTGAATGCAAAAGGTCATTACAGAGAGGAGGTAAAAAAGACCGAGATGGATGTCAGAGACTCAGAGTATTGCACTAGAGCTCCAAGAAGCCAAAACAAAGGGAAGAAACCAAGAAGTTAAGGAGCTGAACAGAAGATTTCAAAGGGCAGCTCGGTAATATAAAGCAAAGTATTATAATGAAATGTGCAAAGAGCTGGAGTCAGACAATCAAAAGGACCAAACTCCCTCAGTATTTCTTAAGCTGAAGGAACTGAAGAACAAATTCAAGACTCCGTTTACAATACTTAAAGGTGCTATGTGCAGAAAATGGAATGATCCAGGATGAATTGAAAGAAGGTGGAAGGAGTACACAGAGTTGCTATAAAAAAATAGATTGGCTGATGCAGAAGAATTTAATGAAACAGCATATGACCAAGAGGCAATAGTGATGAAGAAGGAAGTTCAAGCAGCTCTGAAACAATTGGGGGAAAACAAAAGAAGGCCCCACAAATTGAATACCAATGACATATTTCAGCAAACAGATGCTACCCTCGACATAACTCACCATGTTGTGCCAAGAAATCTGGAGGACAGCTGCTTGACCAGCTGACTGGAAGTGATTCATATTCCCATTCTAAAATTGGGTGATCTGACAGAGTGTGGAAATATTCAAACAATATCACTAATATAACACCACAAGCAAAATCTTGTGAAGATTATAAAAAAAGACTAGAACAGTACATCAACAGAAAACCATCAGAAGTAGAGACTGGGTTTAGAAGATACTGTGGCACTAGGGACATCATTGCCAATGTCAGATGGATCTTGTCTGAAAGCAGAGAGTACCAGAAGAATATCTATGTCTATGTTTCAGAGGATTTGACTATATGCAAAGGATTTGACTTGGTGGATCACAACAAATTGTGGCTAACCTTGAGAAGAATGGGAATCACAGAATACCTGATTGTACTCTTGCAAAATCTATACTTGGGTTAGGAGACAGTCATCAGAACAGGACAAGGAAAGAGTGCGTGGTTCAGAATCAGGAAAGGAGTGCATCAGGGATGCATCTTGTCTCCATACCTTTCAATTTGTATGCAGAACAGATCGTCTGAGAGGTTAGGCTTTATGAGGAAGAGTGTGGCATCAGGATTGGAGGAATACTCATCACCAACTTGTGTTATGCAGATGACACAACCTTGCTTACTCAAACTATGGAAGACCTGAAACATGTGGTGCAGAAGGTCAAGGTCTATAGTCTTTAATATGGATTGAAGCTCAACATCAAGAAGATAAAGATTCTC